AAAAAAAAAAAAAAATAAAATAATAATATTATATTTTTAGCATGAATTTAGTTTAGTTTGACTGAATTTGTAGTTTATTTAATATATCTTCTATTCTCTTAACCTTTTAAATGAATATTTTGTATTGCTAAATCCAACTTAATGTCTATTCAGTTTATTTGAGCATATTTAAAAAATTAAATGGATAGTTAGTTTCTCTCAGTGTACGCACAGCAATGCAACTGCCTGGGCAGCCAGACGTTCTAGTCATGATCATACGCCGTCGCCATTGATGTCTAGTCGCTCGATTGACTTTAGCCTGTGGTGTGTTCTCTCTCTCTCTGTGTATGTGTGCGTGTGTGTGCTTGTTAGAGTGGAAAGCTGTCCTGTCTGTAAGTAAGCCAGTAAGTGAATGAGCGAGCACTGGCCAGTCGCTACAATTGTAGGTCTGGGTCTGGGTCTAAGCGCTCTCCGAGTGCGGCTTTTGGGGCTATGATTGCGACGCGGCCTCTGACCAGGTGCCATAATGGGCATGCATTTTCTACCCATTACATCGCGCTGCTGCGCGTTGGCGTTTTGGGTGGGTGCGTGTCTGTGATGGCAGCCAGTGGTGCCCTGGACTGGACTGGACTGGCACACACAGAGAAACTAAGTGGATGCTCATTGGCTGCGCCTGCTTAGCAGTGAGCGGGGCCAGTTGCAATCAAAGTCCTCGGGGCGAATGCATTGTTTAAATAGAGTTTGCTCGACTCGTATTCAAATATGAATATTATCGCGTTTGCTTAATCGCAATCAACATATATTCTTGTTGCTGTTGTTGTTGCTGTTGTTGTTATATTTAGCTGGAGGACACACCCAAATTGTTGGGCAGTCGGTCTGGCTACCCGACATCCGCTTTTGTATTGATATTCGCTCCACTCACTCAAACTCCATTCCGTTCAGTGACAATGACAAAGGCGAGCTTCGAATTATATATGCCATATATCGTGTGCAGACAGACCCAAACACCCTCATGATGTACATATTCTTGTGATTGTTGTTGTTGTTGATTTTGTTTTGTGGGTTTTATGTTTGTGTGTGTGTGTGTGTGTGCCTCGGCTAACGAGCATAACGCAAAACAAACTTGATTCGCTTTGGCCACTTCGTGTCGCACGCCCCCACGCCCCGGTTGGGGGCGGTTAGGGTAACGCGGATTCGTCTACAGAGTCATTGGCTTTTTATTAATTGGCAATTATTCTTTTCACTGTCAGGTTTAGGTTGCTTTTTTTTTTCTGTTTCTCTTATTTTATATTATTTTTGTTTTTTTGTACTTGTTTTCGTTTCTAATTTCTTGGCGGTTTATTGCGTCGTGTGTTGCCGGCATACAAAATCTCTTGTTAACCAAAAATAGATTGAGGTAAACTTTTTGTTGCCACTTTTTCGTCTATCGAAACTAAAGCTTTGATTTAATTTTAATAACACTTTCGCTGGCCACTAGGCCACATGTGAGTTGGCCATTAATAAAGCAAGTAAAAAGTTGATTTAACCAACAACCAAACCCAACAAAACAATACTAAACGAGCTCGCGTCTAACCAGGCTTTCAAAACCAAACAAAAACAACTCAACAAGTAATACGAACTAAAACCAGAAAGCGAATTGCATTAAGAACTTCATGTTGAGATATGTTTTTTTTTCTTCTTCTATTTTTTATTTTGATTTGCAGTCAAGATTTTAAAGAAGGTTTCCAAATCGAAACTCATACAGAAAAAAAATAAAATGCCTGGAACGCCAGCTTAAAACTTTTCTCCCAGCCAAGTGAAAAATTGAAAGCGAATAAAAAGCGACAACAAAAATATAAATCAAACTGATACAAGAAAGTACTTGCAATAGGAGTCAAAATGCCGCCTCAACCTCAGCATCAACAAGGACCAACAACAACAACAGCAACAGCAAATGGTGGACCACGTGTCAGCTTCAATCGGGATGTTCATGTGAAGCGCATAGGTCAGTGTGTTGTGTTAAGGCAAATAACCTCAAAATAACCACAACACACACAAACACCTACTCACACACTCACACACACACACATATATGCTTTACTAAAAAAAAGCAGTCATTAGTCTAATGATAAATTGGTTGAAACTCATTGTTAACAAAAGTAGAGCATTGGGCTAAGCATTGCGGCACATCAATCACAAAAGATCCGACAAATTCGTATACAAATTTATTTTTTATAATTCTATATTTATTGTAACAAAGAAGAGTTTTTTGCTTTAATTATATTTCTGTAGTCTATATTGGACTACAAAATATGGACTAGAGAAGCTATTTCATTTCCATATATAAAACTCGTATTAATATTAATTAATAAAAAATAAAATAATTAATTTTGTTCATTAATAAATAT